GACTTTTGTTTTAAAAATGATGGAAGCATGAAAATGGTCAAATTATGCATTACAGATGTTTCCCTTGTGCATTTTCTTGATTGACATTTGTTGTGTATACACCCGATTGAAATCTGCAGCATGAAATCGACCAAATGAAATCAGTAAAGAACAGAGACACCTTCTTGTTTATGTGTTGACAACATTCCTCCTGCCTCCATAATGGAAAACACTGATCTGCTCCATGATAAGCACATGCTAGAACAAGCTAATCCACAGCGCAAATAAAACCCTGCAGACTCATAAATGAACTCTGGCTTTTAAGAGTCAAATCACCCCTCTGCATGTCTTGTCCAGTGTTGTGGAATGGAAATGAAGACATGTTGGCGTTTCAGGATTTGAGGGTCTCTGAGGAGGGGGAATAGGATCAGGGATATCATGTTCAAGGTCACCTTATGCTAGATGTGCCGATGATGAGTTGACAGATGTGGACTCTGTCTGACCTCGCGAACCGACGCTGCTAGCTACTATGACAGGATGTCTGAAGGGTCACGGACTCCGAGAAGAGACTTTTGAGTTCTTAGAAACCGCTGTGCCTCTAGGCTTCATGCTAATTCTTGAACAGTGATGTCATGCTCCTTCTGTAGATGATCTACTGAGTGAGTTTCATGTCATACTGAGGCTGGGTTCACCACAGCATCAGGAAAACAGGGCTCTGAAAAAAAAAAAAAAAAAAAACCCAAACGCATCTTTTGGCAAATTCCATTTCTTTATACTGTAGCTATTTCTGACCCCACAATTGACACAACATTTCTCAAGGTAATCTTGAATATTTGGATAATTTTTAAAATATTTTCATATTAAAGAAAAGGAAAGACATTTTCATAATTCGGTTTAAAACTAAGTAGATCTGATGAGAACCACGAAATCAAAATTGACAATTCTTTTTTTTACGGAACATTGCAGTAGCTATATTATTATAAATGATTTACCCATGCACATCATTACTGTTTTTTAAATTAATCTGCCCTCGTAATCTTAATTCAAAATAGCTTCCCCTCCCTCTTGCAGCGACATCTCTTCTCTTCTCTGATGACGTGTTTACTGGCACGAGGGCGGGACAACCTGTCACTCACATGACATCACTGTAATAGCATACCACAATCTTCCAATCAAATCAACCCAATCAATTCAATGGACAAAATGTCCCCCCCTACTTTTTTTTTTTTTTTTTGGATTAAGCCGTTTCACTTATATTTACAGTACATCACGATAGGGAAGAAAAAACGTAAATTATGTTCCATGACGACTTTATTTTATGAGGTGCTGATTTTGTATGAATTACTATTGATGCGTATGAAAACATCAAATTTTTAGAAAAAAGATAGCAAATGTACGAAAACATATGAATGAGATTTTACAAATTCATAAATTAGCCATTTAAGTGTAAAATACTTTTTAAATATAATTTTCAAGGTAAAAAGTTATTATTATTCACAAATAATTCATTATTAATTTATAAATATTCAGTATAGCCTTGTTTTGTCATAAAAAGCTGGCAACACTTTACAAAAAGGTCCCATTTGTTAACTTTAGTTAATGCATTACTTAACTTTAACTAACATTGACCAATACATTTGTTACAGTATTTAACAATCTTTGTTAATATAGCTAATAAATATCCAGCTGTTCATTGTTAGTTGATGTTAGTTCAGGCCGATAAAATAATATCAACAGATACAACTTGTGATTTAATAATATATTAGGAAATTGACATTAACTAAGATTAATACACGCTTTAGAAATCTTTAAATGTTTTTTCATGTTAACTAATGTAGTAAACTAATGTTAAAGCTGCCGTCGGCAACATTTTTTGATCATATTCAGTGAAATCGACACTATAATCTGACAGAACAACATAAATAAAGTGGTTTTAGAAAAAAACCCGAGCTTCTAACTCCACCTGGAGCGTGTTATTTGTTTTGCAAAAATCCACAGCTCCCGGATCATCGGGTCCAATCAGCGCAGGGGTGTGTGAGATCTGACTGTCAATCACAGATCGGGCACACGCCACCCCTCGCGCACGTTACAATCACATGCACACGCCGGAAGTTCGCGGAAGTTCGCGCAGTAACGAAGAGTGATGGCGGAAAATCAAGTAAGCTCATTTAGAGTATAAATGACGTTAGCAATTGCAATCTATCGGTAGATTAGCCAGGACAGCATACCTCCAAATAATCCATGGTGTTGATGGATGCTGATGAGACGGGCGCGTCACAGATAACCTGGTGCACACGCACTGACGAGCACGAACTCGTTGGGAGGGTATCCATTGATAGTGGGGGAGGGGCATGAGAGTTGTAAACATTCAAAATTTCGCCTAAGTCCACTCAATCTGCCAGACTTGCCGACTGCAGCTTTAACAAATAAAACCCTATAGTAAAGTGTTACTAAAAAGCTCATATTATGATATTTTAAAAGACAGACCCCATTATATAGTCTGGTTTAGTGTTTGCTGTTGACTAGTTCCTATGAACCCCTCCACCTCCCCCAGCTCCACCTGCCTAGATCTGAAAAAGGGATTTGTGTAGGTTATGCATCAGCAGCATATCTTACATTCTCAAAGCAGTGTGTCTGTGTATCTAATGGCAGCAGCAGCGTATCAGATCTAGTCTGCCAAAACCAAATACATTAACATTGCCATATTCATTATCATGCTAAAATAGCATTTTAAGTTTTCTTTTTTAAGTTCCTAATGTTTTTTTTTTCTCTACTACTGTCCATTTCTGGACAGTGGTATTACCCTGACATTTTGACTTCGACGCAAAAATGTCAATGAATTTTATTTCAGAAATAGTCATGCTCATCATTAAAGAGATGAATTGCATTTTTTATGTATGTATTTAACGTATGTATTAATAGATCTAGACAAGTGCAAACACAGTGCAGGGTAGGTCTTGGCACTTGCAGAATTAACTAGTTTTACTGAATTCCACTCATGTCAGAAACAGGTAAAGGTTAGTAAAAGCTCTGCACCTCTCTCTGATCCCTACAGAGTGATAAATAGTGTAGGCACATACCTTCCCACCCTTGTAATGATTCATAACGTAATATATTTTCCCATAGCTGTTTAAAATACAATACAAGCACTAAAAAATGAATGCAGAACTTTCCGGCCTGGACATACAAACCTAACAAATAAACAGTGTTTGATGTCCACATTGGGTATTCCATAACAGGATTTCCATAAATAAATCCCTTATTCTTAGATATGATTTTCATTGGCGCTGAGCACATTACTAAAATGGATTTTGTGCTAAGCCACGTTTATTTGTAACCCTACTCAACTGTAGCTTAAGAATAAAGGCATAACCCTGGAGCAAGAATCACCCGCGTCTATGAGAGCTTAGTCAAAGACAACAGCGTGTCCATGCATTCTGACTACAGACTCCACTGCAGTGGCTGAAAAAACCTGAAACAACAGTGTTTGGCAAAGTTTGGGCTTTCAAAGACTTCAGCCGCAGCTGTGTAAATAATAAATAAACCGTCTGAACCGTTCTCATTGTAAAACGAGTCTTGCACAGACAAACATACATAATCAGTTCATCTATTTACACTTGTACATCTTTTTTCTTTTGTATTACTTGGAAGAAAAATCCCTAATAAAACAAAACTTGTCAGATGACAGGAAAATAATAACGGGGAATCTCACGAAAACATGTCTGGGTCACATTTCACCCCGAAAAAATACTGTACTTTATTTTCCATCGAGAAAACTAATAATTTTGCATTGTGATATTAGTTTTATGTACAGTTTACATGGTTCTCATTACTGTAATGAGCCTGAAATGCACAATATTCTCAATTCATAATTCATTTTTTCAAATAATTTTACTTCTTGCATACCTAACAGTACATTACAGTACACAAAATCTATATAATTGTAATGAGAGTTAGGGGACATTTTTCTTAATTTTCCTTAAAATAATGTCACAACCCATATATATATATATATATATATATATATATTATGGTTCTTTTCTTAATTAATTATTTCATTCATTTGATGTTGGGGTGAAACCTGACCAGATTTTTGATGCTCTTGACATATTGTTTTTATTTTACCCAATATAATATCAATAAAACTTTAAAAGAAATTGTAAAAGAATAAGATTTATACTCATACTCATGTAACTATTTTATTTTTGAATCTCAGGTAAATTTGTTGTTTCAAGAAAGATTCTTCGTGTAAAGTAGCGCAGTGGAATGCAAAAACACGCTGTGTGTGAACAGATTTTTTACAGTATTACCAAATTCAAGACCAACACCAAAGAAACAGAAAATACAAAACAACCAAATATTGGTTTAAAATAAACATCATGATTAGACTTTATTTAACACCCATTAACATTACAAAAAGGTGCCATTTCACAAGTCCCTCAGCGGTCCGAAAGACCTTCCAGTCAAAAAGCAGTGTCTCATGAAACAGGGCACTTCCCTCATACACACAGCAGCTAAACTCCTGCCACGTCCCCACTAAACCCACACAGATACAAAACACAACCAAGTTAAACGAACAAGCAACAACGACAAGCAACATTAACAAATACTTTATGGCTTTCTGCTATCCTCCCTTTTTGGGTACATGAATGTTTGATTTAGGGCTGCACGATTAAACCGCAATTTCCATGTTATCGCACTTAAACCGATTTGGCTTATCGCGATTTTGGCTGCGATTATCATTGTCATTGTCACTGCGCCGCTTGTCATTGATGTATGGCTCTGTAAACGCTGCTCCATCTGAAAGCACTGTGAGTTTGAGTCACTTATAACGTTTTCGAACGCATTTATGAACCTTGTCCGACAATGGAAAACATTTAATAACATGCTTTTACTCCAAACTCACTTCATGACGACGGTTGAGCATTCTTCTGAGATGATGTGACTTCTTACACAGAATAAGGCAGTCGTGTGTTTATTAGTCATGTTTAATCAATCGATAGGGATTTCCTGGAATGACGTGTGTTATCGTACTTCTGCGGCGGGGCATATTTGGCGTGTCTGCGTGAGAGCGCCCTCTGGCGTTCAGATGGAGCAGCATTTACTACCGATCAGTCGTGCTGCACTGACAAGCTGCGCATTAAATAATGGGAGCCTTTGCCAAATCGCATGCGGTTTCATTGCGATTAATTGTGAAGCCCTAGTTTGATTTCATGGCAGCATCAGTATTATATATCGACTCGATGAAGGCTTCACGTGGTCTTTGCGTAATTTGTGGACTTTTGCTTTCACGTCAAACTCGCGGTGCTGAGCGTTATCGACACGGAGGCTCGGACTGATGGGGACTGGGCCTGTACAGCTGTTGCAATCGGACCGGCCTCACCGGCCAGCCGGGTAACTGTCCTATTACTCTCAGGCCAACGGGCTGGCCGGGGCAGGAGTGAGGAGCGCCAGGCCCTGAGACCTGCGGGTGGCATGAGCGTGAGTCCAGAGGAGGAAGGACTGAAGCCGAGGAAGGGGAAAGAGGCAGCAGGATGGCCGGGGTCAGACCGTATCTGAGCTGGAAGACACGAGGAGGGCCGTGGTGAGCGCTGAAGCCGTTGGGACGGGAATCCTTCTGTTCCTCCTCCCTCTTTTGCTCCTCCTCCCGCTTCTTCGCTTTCCTGTCGGGTCTGTTGAACTCCTGGAGCTTCTCGGCTTGAGCGCGGCGGATATGGTACGTCTTCCTGTGGCTTTGAAAAGAATCAAGGAATTCCTCCAGGGGCACGTGGCCCTCCATGAACCTCTCCAGCAACTCCTGTGAAGGTCAAATGACAAATAAACAGGTATTAGAGGGCGGGAAGTCAAGCCGGATTCATAACAAGTGTGACGCAGTTGTCTTTTTGAACTCATCATGTTCCAAGACAAATGTCAAAGCCCAGCTGCATAAAACAAGTTATTTTTACACCTAATATGAACCTTAATATGACTTTTAGTGGCATAATCTCAAGCAGTCTGATTGATTCTATCATTTCAAGAAGTATTTTTGAGTTAAATAAACCCTTGCTGAAAAAAAAAAGCTTAAACCATTAAAAACTTAAAAAGGTAATGCTGGTCTTAGCAGGTTTAAGATGCTCTGGGGAAACCAGAATGTAAATATTTTCATAATTCAACAGCACATTCGTATGTTGGTTAATGACCACTGGATTTGTTTTTATTTTAAAACTATTCTTATATAAGGCTGCATGACCAACCTCTATGTTTTAGAAACCCAATCAAATTGCATATAAAAAAGAGACCGAAATATACTAGTGTTTTAATTATTTATACTAGTAAATTATAATTGTATTGTAAAATTAAAATGAATATTAGATCATTATAATAATCATTTTATTTTACACTACATGTGGCAATGCTAATATTTAGACCTTTATGTCTTAAATTCTTCACTTTCAAAGGTTAAAAACCTAAAGCTTTTAACATTTTCAAGCTTTTATTTTTGCGGCCTTTGAATTGATAATTGCTCTTAGTTGCACTGAATAGAAAGAATTGCACATTTCAGTTTTCAGTTCGGTCTATTTATTTATAATAAAAAAAATCATGAACCTCTGTTTGGGAAATCCTGGTCTACCTTAGTTGATCTCCCACCATGACCAGCATAAAAGTTCCCAAAACCTCTCTAAAACCATAAAAACTACTTTAGGCTCGTTTTAAGATATATATATATATATAAACATTTTTACAGCAGGGAAAATAAATGAATTTAGATGTTAATACATAAAGCACATGTTTTGATTACCTGACTTTTTTTTTTTACATTGAAGAGTTTAACGCACAAACATGATGTCTGCACAAATGAATCGCAGGATAAATTTAACATGAGCTCATGTGTCTACTGAAGCCTCTGGTGGAAGGGGCAGGTGTCTGCACTCTGTCTGTCTCAGTATGGGGATTGAATAATTAACAAGTCTCGTCTGCACAAACCCACCGCCTAAATGCACTCGCAGACAGAACAATAAAGTCTTTTAGAACACTGCCCTTGGCAAACTACACATCAGTATAGGACAATAACTTGCAATGTGTGACTCAAATAAATAAACAAATAAATCAATAAATAAGGTTCCGCAATATGATGTCCTACCCCATCTACGTCACATTGGCATTTTATAATTGCAGGTAAAGCTACCATTCCACAAATATAAAGTAAAAGGATCCAAAAGCTATTGCATGAATACAAATAGTCTTCTAAGTTCCTCTTGTCCTTTCAGAAAATATACATATAAATGATGTTTTTTTAATAAAGTTCGGGAGAAGCACGTTCAGATAATTAACACGGGTGGAGAGCACTCAGCAATCAATGATAAGAGGTGTATATATAGATTCAGCAATCTCACCTCAATCCATTGACAGTTTAGCAGCAGCATCCCTCCACCACCCCTTCTCCACTCTTCTAGTCCTAACCATTTACATACAGGGGGGAGTACTCTGGGTTCGGGCCAAATTTCGAGCTCGGAGCCCTCCCCCCGGACAGCACGCTAAATACGCATTAAACTATACAACCTCTAATTGTATGTAAGTGGGAACTCGTGAAATGTGATTTGTACATTTTCAGAAGTAAAACTTATGGCGTTGCGATACGTTTACTCAGATGTGACTGTTTTTTTAGCATGTTGACATGAGGTTGCTATGGGTGTTCTGGGAAGTGTTGTTACTGTTTACTAAAACTAAAACTATTAAAAATAATTTGCGCTATTTTAAATGAAGCAAAATTTAGCAAAAAAACTTTTAGTTTAGAAAATTAAAACTAAAATAAATAAAGAATCATATATACAATGTAATATACAACACACACAGCTTTATTAGGTACATGGTTTGGTAGCAACTCAGTGCATTTAGGCATGTAGACATGGTCAAGATGATCTTCTGAAGTTCAAACTGAGCATCAGAATGGAGAAGAAAGTGATTTAAGTGACTTTGAACATGGCATGGTTGTTGGTGCCAGATTGGCTGGTGTGAGTATTTCAGAAACTGCTAATCTACTGGGATTTTCACGCACAACCATCTCTAGGGTTTACAGAGAATGGTCCAAAAAAGAAAAAATATCCAGTGAGCGGCAGTTCTATGGGTAAAAATAACATGTTGATGCCAGAGGTCAGAGGAGAATGGCCAGACTGATTCAAGCTGATAGAAAGGCAACAGTAACTCAAATAACCCCTCATTACAACCGAGGTCTGCAGAAGAGCATCTCTGAATGCACAACACGTCAAACCTTGAAGCAGATGGGCTACAGCAGCAGAAGAACACACCGGTGCCAGTCCTGTCAGATAAGAGCAGGAATCTGAGGGTACAATTCACACGGGCTCACCAAAACTGGATAACAGAAGATTGGAAAACCGTTGCCTGGTCTGATGAGTCTCAATTTCTGCTGCCGCATTCAGATGAAAGGTCAGAATTTGGTCTAAACACCAAGAAAGCATGGATCCATCCTGCCTTGTATCAACGGTTCAGGCGACTGCTGGTGTAATGGTGTGGGTATATTTTCCTGGCAAACTTTTGGCCCTTTAGTACCAATTGAGCATCGTTTAAACACCACAGTCTACCTGAGTATTGTTGCTGACCATGACCACAGTGTACCCATCTTCTACCCAGTGTGCCCTACTTCCAGTTCCAGCAGGATAAACTCATCATGCCACAAAGCTCAAATCATCTCAAACTGTTTTCTTGAACATGACAATGAGTTCACTATACTCAAATGGCCTTCACAGTGACCAGATCTCAATCCAATAAAGCAGTCATATTCAAATGGTGGACCGCAGTCCGTGTCCAGACCAATACGTACTGAACAGCATTAAACAATATCAATAAAATCATTTTAGTCAGCTTTCAAACGGGATCGACACCAGCGCAATGTCTCGCTCTCTATAAGTACGGCTTGTTCAAAGAAAAGAAAAGTTGATAGCGAAAATGGACAGAAAATAATGCATTCATTCTCCCCGCAACAAGTTCAAACCAAATGTGCCTTATATACTCCGAGTCTATAGCTCTTGTCAAAGACGTCAACGTTAAGAACTCAAATCTTATCTGAAGACGTGCTAACTTGATGAGGCCATTCAGAAAGCACCGTGCATTTCTTGAGCTGTGGATGAATCAACAGATACCACTGATAATGGCCAGCTTCTGGTATTTGTGAGATTCTAAGATGAAACAAAGAAGGAATTCTGTGAAGACCTGTTGGGTTTAACAACTCTTGAATCACACACACACACACACACACACGAGGAGAGGACATCAATGAGGCCATCAAAGGGATGATGACAAAAAGAGGGATAGATCTGAAGTCGTGGTCTCCGTCATCACAGACGGATGGTGTCTATGATGACTTACTACTGCACAGCAATGTCAGACGGCTCAGCAAAGGCAAGGTTTTAGAGCGCTTTTGGGCTGTTTGGGAGGAGATCAAAGCTTTCCTATCAGAGCAAAAGAGTGAAAAGAGTTTTTGGAAGATGTGGAGAAGATGCAAACGGCATTTTTGGCAAACATTACGTCGCATCTTAATGAGCTCAACATTGAGCTGCAGTGATAGAACAACACAGTATATGATTTGATAACAGCTGACCGGGATTTCCAGAAGAAATTAGTGATTTTCAAGACTGATCTCCAAGGTGAACTTGTCCACTTCCCCAAACTTTTGGAGCAAACCCAGGGAGAGAAAGATATGACCTACCATGCTAGCTTCATAAAGAAGCTGATGGACAACTTCAAGACTCAATTTGATGATTTTGTTCTTGAAGGAAAATGCTGCTGATCATACAGAAGCCCTTCTTGGTCAAAAATGAGTTTCCAGAGGAAGCAAAACAGATCCTCAGATGGGCAAATGTTGCATCACTACAAATGAAGTTGACTGAACTGCAAGAAAATGTGGCTTTGAAAGAGAAGGTTGGTTTTTGTGACCCTGCCACTTTCTGGGGAAAGATGGTGCCGGCAGCTCATTTTCTAAATAAAGTGATACTACACATCCTGACCATGTTTGGTTCCACATATTGCTGTGAGTCAGCATTCTCAACAATGAACATTATTAACACCAAGAACCACACCAAGCTTAGCAATGAACAGCTGTAACACTGTCTTAGAATTGCACTCACACCATTTTTTTCCCACAGTTCAAAGTATTGGTAGGAAAAAAAATATTTTTCATTTTTCAGTCATCAGTCATTGATGCGAGATACAGAGTGGTGCATGCATGGAACAAAGTCTGTGCAGTTCTCTAATAAATGTGCACTTAGATATTATTATTATTTATTCAATTGAATGAAATGCCCAATGCATCACAACAGTAACTTTTTTGCATACAGATTACTATGCAACCACTTTTGCTCAGATATGTCGTCGTCACAAATGTGCAGTTTAGTATATTTTTGTAAGTGTACCTATTTGTTAAATACTTTTAGTTTTACTGTAATTTCCAATTTTTTTCTTGATGCAGCAGGACAAATAGTAATAGCCTACAAGTACAGCCTGTACAATTATGTCCTTAAAATGTGTCTCATTTAATATATTTAATAATAGTCCTGAAAACAACTGATCCCAAATCATAGTACGGACAAGTATGGTCTTTACTGTGCTGTACTATAACAATATCTATCCGGACCTTTCCCACTAAGGAATTTTGTGCAACTGGATGTTCTCAAATTATATTTGAGTACCCCTGCAATAGAGCACCGTTGGGATGAAAAAAAACTATGTTTGTTTTTTGCCCCAAATCCCCATTTCAATCCAAGTCTATAGGATTTTTTTCACTCGTTTAAATGTCTGGCAGGCAAAAATCAAATAAAAAATGTCATAGCACATCTTTCTAAACAAACAAACATGGCAAACACTACATTACAAGTTATTACTTAAGGTCAGGGGTTTGTTGAAAACGCTCGAGCATCAGCAACAGTAATGATGCCTTACCTCAGTGGGGTTTCCCAGTGTAATCAAACGTAAAATTACTATTGCGTGAACACAAAGTTACAAGTATCCAAAAGTTATAAATTCCCCAAAAACATTTTTAAACGTCTGTTTGTCTTAATGGTCTTAAAGCGTTTCGTGTGGTCTCCTGCTCTTTATTAACTCTTTATAATTCCTCAATCAAGGCATCATTAAAATTTTATAGTTTCATATAAGAGCAGTCTATGAACGGTTGCTGTCAGTCCTTTTCCAGACTAATAGAATATGCAAGTCCTGTGGGAATCCATGGGTTTAAACACACGTGTCGGTCTGATGTTTTGTCTGGCACGGGTCCTGCTGAAGGCTGGCTCTCCGTACAGCTTACTTACGACGGAGTGAGATCATCAATCAGACGGCAGGGGCATTAATGACAAAGTCACAGAGCTATCGATCGGGCCTGTGTGAGGTGGAAGACACAGTGCTTGTTTACAGCTTGGAGATGGATAATCCAATGTAGCTCAATCAGACACAGCTGAGGGCGGCTGAGACAACAACAAGAGAACACATCTAAGAAGTATTTTTCCAATGGCACATGTTGTGCTGAGCTGTTTTAAGCCCTTTGTTGAATAGTCTGTGATGCTAACATATCACGTAATGATTAGCGATGTTCAATTTGTGGACAAATCGTTCTTCTGAGTCAAATCTTTTCCATGAATCTATTCAAATGGTTTGTAAACGCGTAGTTTTGAGTCAACAACTCGCTGACTCATTGATCTGCATGTGAAACAGGTTTAATAAATAGCATTTTATTAAAATACAAAGAAACTATTTTTTGCCTTGCTTTTTGTTAATTTATAGTTAATTATCATTGTTACAAAAGATTTCTATTCATCAAAGAATCCTGAAAAAATGCATCATGGTTTCCTCAAAAATGTTCAACATTGAAATGTTTCTTGAGCACCAAATATGCATATTAAAATGATTTTTTAAAGGATCATGTGACAAGTCAGCATTGCCATCACAGGAATAGGTTACATTTTAAAATATATTAAAATAGAAAACAATTCATTTAAGTTGTAATGATATTTCACAATAATACTGTTTTACTGTATTTTTAATCAAATAAATGGACTTTTTTCAAAAACAAACAATTCTTACAAACCCTGAACTTTTGAACAGTAGTAATTTGCAACAAATACCTGTCCTTTTTTTTTTTTTTACCTGAAACTGTTCAAATGAATCGATACGTGCAAACAAGCCTGATTTCCCAACACTAGTAATGAATGTTAACAAGCAACATGAGCTCATGGATGAAAAACAGGGATACACAGACATTGCAAGGCAAAATTTAATTATATCCATACAAACAGATGAAACCATTTTCATGCTTCTGAGACCGTGAGGGCTGATATTACAACAACTGTTGTATTCATATTGAACAATTTGTACAGTCTATTACTTCAAACTTGTCCTGTACCTGTGCTACAGACACGAATGACAGCTCAAATAAAGCAAATTCTTGAGTACTATTAGTACTTTAAGCAATCAGAAATGCATTTTTTGCCTAGTGGGCAAAAAAAAGTCTCAAAGACTTATATCGAAGAAGGGAATATTATTGAGACTTTTTGAGTAAAGTATGACTTGGGCCAATAAGCAACCACCCTAGCAAGTGCATGACATTACACTAAAATTCACCCAGAACACCTGCACTTGCTAATTCCTTATAGGTTTAGTTATATACTGTATATCTACAGTAGCAGGAAAAACAATTGAACACCATGTGAGGAGAAATGTTCTTAATGAAATGTTGGGAGTGCTGGTTTTCCACTTCTGGGACAAACCACAGTGCTGGAGACATGACATCAGCTCTGATGTGTTAGCCTCATCTCTTATTTATGACACATGGGCTGTCAATGCTTTAAATCATTGATTAGATCACAGATCCATCTTTGTAAGTATAGTGTAGAGGTTAGTGGATTTTTAGAGTGGATTTTCACCTTCACGTCACCCTTATATTCAGAGCGGTTCTGTGTAAACAAGGATTGTGTCATGTAGAGTAAGGACTTTCTGCACTTTTGTCAGGCTTTCATTCTGCTTTGTTCTGGTTCAGTGAACAGGGCATGTTCATTCAACAGTGGATTCAATGCTAAAAAACAACATGTCAAAATTTTACTGTACTGAGGGGACTGAACATAAAAGACACAGAAAGAGTTTCTGGAGATATAAAGGATGCAAAGGACTTTCAAATCACCTCAGACTGTTCTTCGGCACGTGCGACCTCCTCCTGGAGCAGATTGTGGGCAGTCTGAGGGCTGTGCTTCTCCGTGAAGGCCTCTGGAAAAACCACAAACATTTAATCTCAGTCAGTTTCAATTCTCAACATGACACTGGCTCAGAACTGTGAGGAGTGAAAGTTATTTCTATAGATATCATTGTGACTCCCCAGTTGCCCCGCTGCTGAATCTACTGCCCCACGACAACAAATGTGAAAGACAACACAAAATAATGTAGATAATAAATAGACAACCTCCTGTTACATAGAGTGAGTGAATGATACTTTTGAGACAGCTGTTTTCAGTTCATTGGTTGAACAGATTAAAAAAACGACTCAATCACTCACTACCGAGTTATCATCTCATTTACCAAAATGAGCTGTTATCGATATCTGCAGGGGAAAAATGCTTTGACAGTAAGTGGCGCTTACAGAGAAACAGAAATACAGCAGCACAAAATGGCAGCAGTACGCAAATTTCCATTTCTAACACTAAGAGTACAGAGACAAGAGAGCCGGTTCCGGATTCTTCCTCTGCTATTCACTGTCCATAATGCTGTATACATGAGTGCCAGCTCTGAGCATGTGACCAAAGGCATCAATCTCATTAGTTGGCCAGTTTCATTGCAGTGCGATGGAAAACTAAACACCTCCTCATAAAACTGAACTCCCCCCAAAAAATACCAGTTATTCATTTACATTTTAAGGTAGGGTAGGCAATTTCGGAGAGGCTAGCAATAGCAAGCTAGCTTTGAAAGCATAAGAACCCACCCTTCCTTTAGAGCGCTCTCTAAAGCCACACCTCTTCCAAACACATGAACGCACACACAGCAGAGTCTGCAAAGGTTAACGAGAGACGGCATTAAACTAATATATAGCTCCTCCCTTTCACTTTTTGGGTACATCCCATCTAGACTATACCTCGTGTCTTAAAGCACATATCGTTACAATAATAATGAATGTAAACAACTTAAAGAGCGCTGACTTGCACCACCTGACTGCTGCAGGTTAATTTTGGCGTTGATAGTGTTGCCAATTCTAGGACAGCTCAGAGTAGAATGTCACGGGTTGCCATGACAATTTTGTTTTTGTCAAAAGATTTTAAACAAATTGTAACACTAACACTGGTCAACATACATTATTTCTATCTGAACCAAAATCCAAACTCAAAAGCAATTACCAATAAAGTTGTGCAAAGCATAACAGTCCAATGCCAATGAAAGGGAAAAAGACAACAATATACCATAGTTTTGAGTAACTTTACACACATACATCATTACAATGTTATCATAACATAGCATAGATCATATTACGATAACAATATCATTGGAATCACTTTCAGCCAATCAGAATCCACCCAGTTTATAGAGCTTGATAATTTACGGTGACAGATGACATAACCGCAGTGTGTGCTTAGAATACACAGAGTTAACAGGTTACTCACTAAGCTGTCAGTCTGTCAAGAACTGTTACACATTTGAACGTGCAAGCGTGCATGAGATTTAAGAGCTATGCATGAGAGGATTTCCAGAGAATAACTTAATTTTCTATCTGTTCTTCGCATAACGCTATCGTGTGACTAAATAAAGATCTGAAACATGGTATGGCTACACTTTTAAAAATTAAGGTTTTTTATTGGCATCTATGATTCCATTAAGAACCTTTAACATCCATGGACACTTTTCATTCCACAAAAGGTTCTTTATAGTAGAAAAATGTTCACTGAAAGGTTCTTTGGGGAACCAAAAATGGTTCTTCTATGGCATTGCTGTTGAAATCCCCTTTATTTTAAAGAGGCCATATTATACCCTTTTACAGTGTCTTGATTTTGTTTGTAGGGTCTATTACAATAGGTTTTCATGCTTTACGGTTAAAAAAAACTCAATTTTTTTCACATACTTTACATTGTTGCAGCACCTCTCTTTTTAATCTGTCAGTAACGCTCTGGTCTCTATGAAGCCCCTCCTTCCGAAAAGCTCAGTGTGTTCTGATTGGTTGGCTGGACCAGTGTGTTGTGATTGGTTTGAGCGCTTCGAGAAATGTCACGATAACCACGAGTTTCAACACACTAACGCAACTTAAACAGGCCTGACATGCACGTTCCCAGAATAAAACTCAAGACTACAAGGGGGAGTTCCGAAACAGTGCACACTGATATAGAAAATAACACTGTTTGGAGTGACTTTTTGCTTTGTAACTTTTCAGACCTTTTCAACACCAACATTACACACTAACGTTAAAAACAAATGTAAAAAGCATAATATGTCCTCTTTACAAAGAGTACTTTTGTGGTTCTTTTGGTGCATGTTGTAATAATAAATGGAACATTAATGTATTAAAAAAAAACACGTCAGCTGACAGTGTCCCGCTACACAAACAGATCTCTCAGGGGCTGGTAACTGTGCCAGCAGGACAAAAGAACGCCACAACAGTGTGTGAAAACATATCGTGAATGTGTTCAGCTGTGAAGAAGCTCCACTGCTTGAGTCTTTGTGTAGACTTTGTGCAGGACTGAAGCTGCACTCGGGTCTCTTTACAGTGTTATTGCAGTGCCCTGAGGGCGAGGGTGGACGCAATCACTTTCTGTTAGCTCATGTCCAGTGATGAGAGTGAGGGGCTCAGGACCTCTAAGTGTTGTGCTGGGGTTGCTATGGCAACCGGCAATTATGCTAATGTGCAGATGTGTTGAGTCCACAGGGGATGTGAAAAGCTGAGCTAGTGGCCATCGAGGGCACAGACAGGTCAAGGCAATGACACCATTTGCGCTTCAATAAGGCAGAGCTGCTCCCCAAACAAACCTCTATTACAGCCAGGACGCAAATGCTCTTGAGAAAATTACTGTGGAGGCACCATGGTACACTGAAGGTATCAGATGGTATTTATAATGGTACTGTATGATTATCATAATCTCCAGCATCTCCAACACTGTAAAAAAATGCTCATTTTAAATAGGAAAAAAATTATAAGTACTACAGTAAAAAGTTATTACCTGTACCATTTATAAAGTGAAACATTACAGTATTCAGTATTAATTTGAAAAAGTATGAATTGCTTAATTAATAATGCTATGCTTCAACAGAAGAATGGTATTACCATGCCAATGGTTTAGAAATGACACAATTATTACTTATAAAATTGTGTTGTGACTAAAAACATGACAACACCATAATACCACATCCAAATAGCCATGGTAATACCATTCTTCTTATGATGCATACCAGTATTATACCATTGCCATTCCATTCTGTATAATCTATTTAAGATTCTCCCACTGACTCTTATATGATGAGCTTCATCCTTAATTCATCTTGTCACTACAATGTATTGATGCCAACACTCTCTCAGATCAGTCAGGCAAACGCCTTGCCAATAACTCACAAAAAGCCTTTTATATGTCCTGCTCTCAGAACATGAATATTCAAAGGCCCACTATGTCACATGCGTTCGTGTGTATCTGTACGTTGTGGCCGTGTGACTGCTGAGGCATGTCAGCGTGAGCGAGGGGGGAGTGGCACACCACGTGCATGGCCCCGGAGACCCACGCGATGAAACGGTAATGGAAGGCGACAGACAGCCAAACAAACACTTGGGGAGCAGCTGTGGGTGACCTACATACTGGGGAGAAACCATGTAGATGCGCTGCGGGGCGTCCGTTCCACGGCAAGAAGACCACTGGAGCCAGAGATATGACCTGGGGCTTCTGGGATCTCGCAGTCACAATGGCTACTGATGGTTATCAAGCTAAAGACCCAACGCTATTATTGTGACATGTCAGATCACTGTCCTCTCCTTGAAGTGGTCACATGGATCCAAAACAGAAACAAAGGCAAATTCAACCAATTAGATGCATGAATGAAATGGCCAATCAGAGAAAGAAAATCATCATTCATCTGAGCTGACCTTCAGAGATCAATAGACCAGAGACAGGTTCTGCCCCTCCCCCTCTCCATGAATACATAATGCTAATTGATTTCATTGACTGAACACAATTGTTTTGTTCCAAACAAAAGGTCTTTTGAGGTCTGACTTTAGAATTTTTAAAATAAATGGATTCATATTGAATGTCTCTGGAAGGGGAAATTGATTCTTCTCACAGGACAAACCTTGGGAAAAAGAAGTACACTTTAGCATACTTTTTAAAAAGAGTACTTATAACGGAAATAACGCAATTTCTAAGAATATACTTAGATGAAACCAATGTTTTTGGTCACTTAATTGCATGTTAATTTCAATTAAATGTAAATACTATAGTTAAATGTATATGAAATGCAATGAGCTGAACTTCCACTTCCACTATGTGATTTCATAATTACCTCTATGTCTTATAATCAAGCACATATGCTTTGGTGTGTTAGTCAACACATCAAAATAAGTGTACTTCTTTAATGATTTAAAAACTACTTTAAAGTTAAACCTTTAATTTGACGTTTTTACAATGTAATCATTTATTTGAAGTACAATTCAATACAATTAAGCACACTTTTTCCACAAAGGAATCCTTAAGTGCTGGAGCAATAATGTATTTTTGTATTCTTGTATATTCATATTCAAATTTCTGATGTCAGAAGTGTGACAAATGAAAACAGCATAATCTATTCAAGCCGCACTGCATGCTGGGTACCTTCATAGTACATGCACTGTAGAAATACAGTATGATATTGTAGATTTTACAAGACATTTCCAAAAGTGCAGTTAGATAAAAGAGAAAACCTACTGTGGAATTACTGTCAAAGTAATGCAATTAATAACCTGGAATGTACTGTAATTTCATATAAAAAGAAATTAACAGTATATATTAATATTTTGAATTAGCTTTTATTGTTATATTTTCAGTTAATTTGATGTGCTTTTGTCATTTATACTATTATAATACTTAGAACTCGCTTTTATTGTTATATTTTCAGTTAATTTAAATTTTAGTTTAACTTTTAGTAATTTTGTTATATGCTTTTTCTATTTAACCTTCATTTATTTTTAGTTTAGTTTTAGTTTCAGTCATTTTAGTATTTCAACTTCAGCTTTTCATCTGATATTTATATTTAATATTATATTTTAATATTTA